AAAGGGTGCACGGACCCCCGCCAAGGAAGTCACGTGTCGGAGGGCGTGCGAGGAACGCCCCGCCATCCTCGGCCGGCCACGCCTCGCCCGGCGCTGTCTCCACTCGCCCGCGGTTTCCACCTTCTCGCTCCCGGCCCCCGTGGCGCCGGGCACCCGCACCAATGAACGCCTCTCGGGGTTAGTTGCCACGTGTCAGCCAGCTCGCGGGCGCGGGGGGCTGGGGGTGAAAAGCTGGGCTCAGGAAGGGAGGGGCATGGGCTACTGGACGGACGGACGTCTCTGGGCGTAGGGCTGAGCCAGAGCGGGTGCCCCTCTACCAGTCCCCTCACCGAGCCTGGTGACGGGTGACTGGGTCCGCAGGCCCGGGGGCCTCCGCACAGCAGCGCCTCCTCCACTCCAGGGAGTGGCCTACACTGGGGTTGTCCTTGGCGGTCAGAGCAACCGCCCCGCGCCAACCTGAGGAGACACGGCTCAGCGTAGACCCGCCCAGGATCTTGCGTGTCGTCAGAATCCAGTCCTTGATGCATCTTTGGTTGCCAGTTCCCGTGGAGTGAGGGGATCTCAGAAGGCTTGGGAGGGGACGGGAGAGACCTGAAGCAGGCAGTGTGCTTGACTTAAGCGGTGGAGGTCAGGAAAGCCTTGTATCTGGCCCGGGCGGGAGGGTTTCCCCAGACCAGATCAGCCTTGCTCAGATAAAGCTGAAGAAGGAGGAATGCCAGCACGGAGTCCAGTCCCAGCAGAGGCAGGGTGAGACAGGGCTGCTGAGAGGACTAAAAGGTTCGTGGGGACCAGGCTGCCCAAGTTATAAAGGGGAGTTTGGGGCCACCTGAGATCCACACCATCAGAGAGGACACAACCACACGGCGACTCCTACGGAGAGGCCACACAGGCTCCAGCAGGCACTGGTGCTTGTCCGCTCCCACGCTGTGCCTGAATAGGGACGACTGCGGTTTCCCTGAACTTCCTGTCTACCACCAGAGCAGACAGGCTGGCTGTCGCCTTCTCACTGAGGATGGGGGCTGTGGGGGAGGCTACGGGTCTGGAGATGATGGAGATCCTGGAGCTTCCCGGGAGATGTGGGGGGATGCTGAATCTCCGGTCTGTCATGAGGGGTCAGGGATCCAGAGCATGGGGTAAAGTTCCCTATGTGATGGATGACAGGTTGTGCATCAGTCAGGTCACCCTCTTGAGTGGGTGATCAGGTATCCTGTGATGAGGATACACTGACCCTGGGTTTGGGTCAAATCACCAGTGATTGTGTGTGTTTGCAGGTTGGGGTCTTTAACATGCAGGAGGTGGAGTCTGGGGTGAGGTCACCTGTGATGAGTGGCAGGCTGTCGACGGTGTCTGTTACATCTCTTGCTTCATACAGGATTCCATCTGCAAGAACCAGCTTCCTGCTCTGACCCACAATACAGCAGCTACCTGCCCCGGCAGCCCTTGCATCTGGCCAGCCCCCCCCACCCCGCATCAGGGCTGTTGGTGACCTTCAGTGGCCTCTGATCAGAAACCTTATCACTGACCCCGACTGAAAACTCATCAGCAACCTTGACAAAATGTTCAAAATCATGACCAGTGACTTAGAAATGATTCTGGTAAGTCCTCACTAATGACTCATCCAGAATATTGATCAATGTCCTGTGGCTCATTAATGATTAATCAGTTAATCAGTATTTTACAAAGTCCCTATTAATGACTTCAATCAAATTTCCATTGATGATCTTGACCAAAGTCCTAGGGCCCATGAATAACTGGTCAATATCCTCACTAATGATCTTCTAGAGAGTCTGGCCAATGTATCCATCAATAACCCAGGTCAATGACCCATCAGTGGCCCACCTGTACCTGCTCTGGGCTCCAGGTGACACTGAATCCAGAAATATTCAAGGTGCTCCCCATGTGCCCCAGACCATGTCCACTGATCATTGGTACACGCTGGACAGGGATGCTGAGTACACCTGCATAGTCACCTCCCCACCCCCACATTTCTCCTTACCTTCCCTGGTTAGAACTTCAACTGGAGTTAAGTATTTACTAAGCAGTGTAGTAGTGGGTATTCAACTGGAGAGGAAACTGAAAACAGATCGTCCTGGTTTGGGATGCGGGTGTCAGTGGGGGAGGAGGCAAGTACCTCTCGCTTGAGGCATAAGTCTGGGGGTGGAGGGGTAGCAGTACCGGCTCTTCCTTTGGGAGTCCTGCCTGCGGAATCTAGGAGGGAGAGCTGGAAGACTTGTTCCTGTTCTTGGGGGTTGATGGGAAGGGAGATTCAGGTTCTGCCCTGGGGTCCTGTTTGGGCCAGGCTTGAATTGGGCTGCTGACCTCTTTGAGGTCAGAGTTTCTGGTCTTGAGAGGAGGCATCTTTTAACCTTGCAGCCACAGGCAGGCAGGGCAGGTGCCATGACTCTGCCTCAGGGCACGTTTGTCCCCGAGCTATTGGCACCAGGCCACTCCAGTTGCTGCCCAGACTTGCCCAGGACGGGTCAGCGCTGCAGTCTCCACCAGATCCATGCCTCGCAGGCGGATGGCAAGATCATGGCCCCTAGGCGTGGGTACAGTGGTGTAGGCAGCACAAGGGGGGGGGCGTTCCCCCTGCAGTGGGTTATCCCGAGTGGCAGTGGCAGTGGTGGGGCGCTATGGCGTCGCCGGGGGCAGGCAGTCTCTGGGCCTGACCTTTGGGTCGGAGTCAGGGGCGGCCAGCCGTCGCCACGCATGGATTTGCGCGCCCTGTGCCTTCCAGGACAGCACTCACGAAACCCCTGACTTCAGTACGGCAGTTGCTTGGGCTCCGGCTCCCTCCCTGGGAGAGTTCAGCAGATGCAACTGGGGCAGGTGGGGACAGGCGTCCGCAACTACTCCGGGCTGCGACACACTTGGAACCTGTCACCGCCCTGTGTCCGTGTCACTGCAGCCAGGCTCACTTGTCCCGACCCGGTTCCCGTTTTTCTCTCGTGTAGTCCCCTCAGTCCAGTGTCTGTGTCGCCCGTGTGCATGTCTCCGTGTCTGGCTCCCACATCTCGGTCTCACAACTGACCCCGGTCCGTACCTGTCCTGCACAGATGCCCTAGCCCGTCTTTCGAATCCTAGCGGGTTCCTCCCTGTCTTGCCGGCGGCCACAGCGTGGGAGCGGCGGGATGGCGCCTCCGGCCAGAGCCACGGAGGGGCGGGGCCTCACGGCCAGGCGGGGCTCTGGGCCAATCACCGCCTCGGAGGGGCGGGTATCCTGACCAATCGCGAGGGCCCGCTTGCTGCCTCTCTTGCCCGCCCGCCGCGCCGCAAGCAGAGGGAAGGCGACACGCTGCTGGCTCCGGAATCTTTTAAGAAAAACATTTGTGGGGCCGCGCCCGCCCGGCCGATCAGTCATTCACGTCCGTCAGCACAGGGGCCAGGTAGTCTGAGTGACGGATCCCGAAGCTCCATCCGCGAGGCTTCCGGTGCTGCGGATCCAGGAGACGTCGCTGGCCTGGCACAGCCGGCCGGCCCCGGGCTCCCGGACCCCAACCTAGCTGAGACCCGCGACCCCGACCCGGCTCCCCTTACCCCCCGCCCCGACCCTTCAGTCTGAACTACAGACCACCTGGTCCACGTTGTAGGCTGCGGGCCCGGGATTCAAGGTGTTGCCTTGGGGGAGCGATGTCCGCGCCAGCATCGAGAACTGGGGGGCCCGGGGCTTGTAGACCCCAGGGTTCACCGCGTGGTAGGCGCAGGGTCCTGGGGTCTGCAGGAGGACGGGAGGGCGGGAGTGGTGCTGTGTCCGGCCTCCAGGCCCGCCGACCACTGACACCTCGCCACGCGGTGCGGGAAGTCCCTCCCCACCTTGCTGAGGTCCTCGCAGAAGCTGCCCACCGCGCTGCGCCCGTAGATGGAGTAAGTCGGGGCCGAGATTTTACCGACGACACGGGGGCCCAAGAGCGAGGGCACGGTGTAGGTCCCGGGGCCTGGGGGAGCCAGCGAGGGTGGATCTCTGCGGACCAGTAGGTCTCCTCACCGCTGCCAGTGCTGAGTGGACCTTTCTGGATTTACCTGGGGTCTGCGGCTCCGCGCGGAAGCCCCAGTTTCGGGGAGCGATGGTGTGCCGAGGTGCGCTGGAGTACGCCGCATTCCCCGCTCGCTCCGGAAAGTACCTGCCTGTGGGGCGGACCGAGGGGTGGGCCAGAACTGGGTTGGGGGCCCGGGCTCGGGTCCAGAGATTAGGGGGAATTCCAGCCACGATCTGTCAAATCCCGATGGGCTTGAATTCTTTTGAGATCCGGATATGGGGGGACGGAATTTGGAGTGTTAGGGTGCCCAAAGGGGACTCGGGGCCCAGGTGGGAGGGTTTCCCGAGTGGGCGTCCCTGGAGGCGGCCTGGCGTTGGGGAGGTGGGAGTTCCAGGGTCCTGACCGGGTCCCGGAGTGAGGAAGGGCGCTGCGTGGCGCGGGCGGCCGAAGAT